GCCGGACGGTGTAGATAGGCTCACCGTCGAGGAAGCGGGCAGGAGGCGGCGCCGGAGCCGGAGGCGGGAGAAGGGAGGACTCCACGTAGGGCTTGAGCCGGGAGGTATGGAAGGTGGGATGGATGCGGAGAGTAGCCGGCAGCCGCAACCGGTACGTGACCGGGTTGATGACCCTTTGGATGGGGTATGGGCCGAGGAACCGAGGGGCAAGTTTCTTGGACCCGGCACAGACCCGAAGGTCAGCCGTGGACACCCAGACCTTGTCCCCAGGAGCATAGGAGGGACCAGGACGGTGTCGACGGAGATGCTGGTGAGCATAGCTGGTGTTAGCTCTGGTTATGGAGGCTCGTGCTTTGATCCAGGCGCTCTTGCAGCGTCTCACCATGGCTTCCGCTGCCAGAACGGCGACCTCGGGTTCTTGGTGGGCAAAGACCGGGGGCTGGAAGCCATAGCAGACCTCGAAAGGGGACAGCCGAGTGGCAGATGAGGTGTGAAGATTGTGGGACAGCTCCGCCCAGAGGAGGTATTTAGGCCACTGCGAGGGTTGAGCCGAGACAAAACAACGAAGGTACCGACCCAGCTGTTGGTTAGCCCGCTCCGTCTGGCCATTGGTCTGCGGGTGGTAGCCTGAAGATAGACTGACCGATGCTCCCATCAGCCGACAGAAAGCTTTCCAGAACCGGGCCGTGAACTGGGGCCCCCGATCCGAGACCACGTCGACTGGGAACCCGTGGAGGCGCACCACGTTCTCCAGGAACAGTTCCGCTGTGCGTTGGGCTGAGGGAAGACCCGGAAGGGCGATGAAATGGACAGACTTGGAAAAGCGGTCCGTAACCGTCATGACAGTGTTGAGGTTATTGACCGGCGGGAGACCCGTGACGAAGTCCAGCCCCACGTGGGACCAGGGGCGGCTGGGCACCGGAAGAGGTCGGAGGGCACCAGCCGAGGCCTGGTTGGGGTTCTTGGAGCGGGCACAGACGTCACAGGCGCTGGTGTATTCTTTCACATCCCTCGCCATGCCTGGCCACCAGAGGGCTCGCTGGAGGAATTTAAGAGTTCTGGAGAAACCAGCGTGGCCAGACAGGCGTGATGAGTGGGCCCAGGACAACGCCTCGCTGCGACAGGCCGTGGGGACATAGAGGCGACCCGCGGGGGTCTCTGGAGGCGCGGGGTCGTCCCGGAGGGCGTTCTGGATAGCTTCCTCCAACGGCCACCTCAGTTGGCCCAGGAAGCGGTGTTCCGGGAGGATTGGCGCTGGCTCGGACGAGGGCGTGGAGTGGGTGAATTGGCGGGAGAGGGCGTCCGCCTTCTGGTTCTTGGCTCCCGGGCGGTAGGCGAGATGGAAGTCGTAGGGTTCAAAGAAGAGGGCCCAGCGAGCCTGGCGAGGGTTAAGCTGCTTGTCAGATTTAATGTGGGTCAGGTTCTGATGGTCAGTCCAGATCGTGAAAGGCCGAGTGGTGCCCAGAAGCCACTGCCTCCATTCCTCCAATGCCCATTTTATGGCCAGTAACTCACGGTCGCCCACACCGTACTTCTGCTGGGTGGTGGAAAACTTCCTGGAGAAGTAGGCGCAGGGATGGAGCCTGTCGTCGGGCCCGCCTTGAGACAGGATGGCGCCGGCGCCGACGTCAGAGGCGTCGACCTCGACCACAAAGGGAACTGCAGGATCTGGATGGCGGAGGATCGGGGCCGAGGTAAAGCGGGTGACCAGGTGGCGGAAGGCCCGAATGGCGTCGGGAGTTAGACGAAACAGCTGGCCAGGGGAGCCTGGTCGAGTGAGAGAGGTGAGAGGGGCTACAAGGGTGCTATAGTTCTTTATAAAACGGCGGTAAAAGTTGCAGAAACCCAGAAAACTCTGCAGTTGTTTCAGGCTGGTTGGCAAGGGCCAGTCCTTCACCGCCTGGATTTTCTGAGGGTCCATGGTTATCCCTTCGTCCGAGATCATGTAGCCCAGGAAGGATATGGACTGCTGATGGAAGGAGCATTTCTCGGGTTTACAGTACAGGTTGTGGTCCAGGAGCCGGGTCAGGACGGCGCGAACATGATGGATGTGTTCGGCCTCGGATTTGGAGTAGATCAGTATATCGTCCAGATAGGCGAACACCCACCGTCCCAGCATGTCACGGAGGACATCATTAATGAGACGTTGGAAGACAGCAGGGCTATTGCATAGTCCAAAGGGCATAACCAGGTACTCCCAGTGGCCGGTGGGTGTTATGAACGCGGTCTTCCACTCATCCCCGGCCTTTATACGGACCAGATTGTAGGCGCTCCGGAGATCCAGTTTCGTAAAGATCCGTGCCTGGGAGATGGCATCCAGAGCGGTAGTGAGGAGCGGCAGAGGATGGCGGTCCTTGACCGTGATCTTGTTCAGACCCCGATAGTCTATGCAGGGGCGAAGATCGCCTTCCTTTTTCTTCACGAAGAAGAAGCCAGCGGCACCCGGAGAGGAGGAGGGTCGGATGAACCCCTGCTGGAGGGCCTGGGCGATGTATTCTTCCATCGCTTTGGTCTCGGGAGGCGCGAGAGAGAAAAGGCGCCCGCGGGGAGGACTGGTTCCGGGTAGCAGCTTGATCTCCATATCATATGGCCGGTGAGGTGGCAGGGAGGTGGCGCGCCGCTTGTCGAACACCGCGGCCAGGTCCCGATAGGGCAGCGGCAGGTGGGGCGGTGTGGAGCCGGGGCCCCCGTCCGGAAGACCCGCCGAGGATGGAGGAGGAACGAGGTGGGTCTGGCACGAGGTCCCCCAGCCCAGCAGGCGGTTCTGGGACCAGGAAATATGAGGGTCGTGGAGACGGAGCCAGGGGAACCCCAGGATTAGAGGAGAAGAGGGAGCAGAAATGACCAGGAAATGGAGGGTCTCCTGGTGGCCTTGGGTGAACATACGGAGTGACTGGGTTCGGTCTCGGACTGGGTAGGGTTGGAGAGGCCTACCGTCCACCGAGGTCACTGGTATAACTCTCTCCAGGGGTTGTAGGGGGATCCGTAGGCGTTTTGCCAGATCTAGGTCCATGAAATTGTCCGCGGCCCCCGAGTCCACCAATGCGTTTACGTGGAGTGAGGCCTCACCATGGAGGAGGGTGACAGGAATAAGGAGACGGTTAGTAGCGACAGGGGTAGAAGAAGACCCAGACTGAGCGACCCCAATACTCAGTGGGGGCCCCCGTTTCCCGATCGTAGCGGGCAGTCCAGGCGTCGGTGGTCGGGAGAGCCACAGTAGGCACAGAGGCCCTCGCGCCACCGTCGTTGTCTCTCCTCGGGGGGAAGGTGGCCGAGCTGCATGGGCTCCTCCGCCAGCATGGGTACAGGAGCTGGCGTGGGTGAACGAGGGCGAGGCACCGGCGTCCTGGGTGGACGCGTGGATAACTTGGGTCGAACCAGAACCCGCTGGTCGATGCGCAGCGCCAGATCAACCACCTCATCCAGGGTCTGAGGCAGCTCCCTTCCCGCCAACTCATCACGGATGTAGGGTGCCAGCCCCTCCAGGAAGGCGGCCCGCAGAGCGGAGTCATTCCACTGCAGCTTGGCGGAGATGGTGCGAAACTCCGACGCATAAGCGCACACCGAGCGTTCTCGCTGGCGGAGTTTGAGAAGGCGTGTCTCTGCTCCCACTTCGCTGCTGGGGGGAACAAAGGTCTTCCGGAGAGCGGACACAAACGCAGCATAGTCGTTGCAGGCAGGGGATTTGGAATTGTAAAGCGCAGCAGCCCACTCCGCGGCGCGTCCGGAGAGCAGGGAGGTGAGATGCGCCACTCGGGAGCGCGCAGATGGGTAGCGTCCAGGTTGGCACTCGAACTGCATGTCCAGCGTGGCGAGCAGACCATCGGGGCTCCCCGTCTCCCCGTTCCACCTCTCCGGCAGGCTGAAGTGGGGCTCCTCCCTAGGAGCAGAGCGGGTTGGCTGCTGGAGTGCAGCGATCTGTTGCTGCTGATCGTTTGCCTGTTGTTGGAGAGCCGTGAGAGCCGTGGATAGACGCAGGGTGTGGTCGGACAAGGAGTTCACCTTGGTGTTGAGCTGATCTACCATGGAACGCAGCTGCACGTTCTCGTGGCGGAGACGATCGATCTCCGTCGAATCTACTCGGATCTCAGTCATCCTGTCAGGCTGATCAGACTGGATGAAGGAGACGAACAAGGTGAGACGTTTAACAGTTTTATTATTTCTCTGGTCGTATCTCTGTGAGGAAGAAACGATGACGGAGATGAGAAGCCGGTCACGGCGTCTTCCATATATAGCCTTGCTTGGCTGTGACGTGGAGGGAATCCCCGCGAGGAGCATGCTGGGAGCTCCCCACGAGGGGCATGTCGGGAGTTGTGGTCCGAAAGTCAGCCGGGAGATACCCAAGTCCTGACAGCAGGTTGCGGGGTGGATTAGGTAACATCGGCAGTTTTACCAGCTTTTCGTGACATTTTTAATGTTCAAAGTAGAGTCAAACCTGTCTCAGCAGCGCAACAAACTATTCAAAATGAAGACAGGAGAAAAGGAAAAATCACAAATGTACGCCTAAAAGCCTCAAATAAAACTAACCGGAGGAGCGACACACAACGCGACTTACGCCAAACTGGGTGTCCCTTGACCCAATTTGAGTTGTTTCTACAATCCCCTCAGATGTTTCTCTGCTTGATGCAAGCTAATTATGACACTTCTCGAGCTGACCAACATCTTTTCCACGACCATTAGACGCGTCTTTCCACATGGTTGTTTAAGAGACGAGAAGCTGGGGTTAGATAAGTTGTCCGCTGAACGATAATTGCCCTTACAGCAGTTTATCCAATAGGAGACTCAGAATACAGAAGATGTGTTGTTCCACTGAACGGTTCGCTGGACTTTCCTCGTCTGTATTTGGGATCTGATCATTTTTTCCAAGCTATTTATTAAAAATGGAACAAAAGGAAACAGTTTTTTGGAGCAGTTATGTTTGCATTAATATAACATAAAGCTCACTCCAGCCTCCTGTTATTGTGAGCAAACAGGAGAAGAAGAATTAAAGCGTGACTTACCGTAATTAGCTCATAGATGTTGGCTGGGTCACATGTGGTCAGGCTGCTGAGGATTATGAGGATCTCTCTGCTGGTGTGTCCAGGCATGTGCCTTAATGAACCACAAAGACTACGTGTGAGTTTATTTATTTCAGTCAGCGGTTAAAGGGCCGGCCCTGCTGAACCCACTTGAGGTTATTTAAGGCCAGGCTAAGAGCGTTGTACAGGGACGGCTCTCCGACACACGGAGTGTCCACAGCCTTCTTCAGTGCATCAATGTGCTTTTTAGGATTTCCTGGAGATGAAATAGGACAAAACAAAACACCCCCGAGGACAAAAGCAGCATGAGACACGTTTAGATGAATAAAATTCACACCCAGGGTAGATGTCTAACATATTGCTGTTTGTTCAGTTCCTGGAGATCGGAGAGGGTCTCTGTGATGCTCACCTGACAGCTCAGTCAGCTTCTCAGCTCGTTTGTTCTTGGTTATTATGATGCCCACCTGTGGACAAACACGATTGGTAAACTGGTGCCTGCACTGGTCCCAAAGGGGGACTGGTGTCTATACTGGTCCAATCACTAACATGGAGCCAAGAGGACCACATAATCTCTGAAAAGCTAAGACCCCCCCCCCCCCCCCCCCACACACACACACACACACACACACACCACAGCTTGATAAAGATTAGCCTGGGGTGAGGCGGCACACACTCCCTGCAGGCGGAGGGTGAGCAGCAGGGTGATCCGTGGAAGCAGTTCAAGCTTCAATAAAACAATAAAGTTTGGTGCGATGTTGATGCATACCTGACTGATGGGATTTTGGTCAAAATATTCATCAACAAATGTCTCCATCAGCTGGACAGAAGAGAGGAAGCACACTAGGTTTGGTAGATGTTACTGGCTTTCAGGTGTTAGTGCCGAGTGTGTTATGTTACCTTTAGAGTAGAAGTGAGGCGGTTTGGTTTCAGGTCCTGGTCATCCATACTGCGTGAACAGTCAATCACAAAATAGAGGTGGCGCATCTAGAGCAGAAGTGTAGCTTAGTCTAGATCAGAAAGAATCAGGTTTGACCTTTGACCTCCCTGATCCACATGCATCCCACTGAACACGTCGTACACTTGGTCCTCTCACGGCTCAGTAAGGCAACAATTCATGTCTCCTGAAAAGTGGCTCAATCCAAACCAGCTGTTGAGTGACTGAAAATGACTTAAAAACCCAGTTTGTGTGAAATGTGAAACAACAAAGTTGCTGATTAATGCTCACCAGCTAACGGTTGTTTGTTTTCTCTGACTAACATGTGACTGTCTCTAACACAGAATGTGCTACTACTAGTTCATCTGCTTAGGGTTAGGCTTTATTACAGACTCATTCAGATAAAGACAATAACGTCTGTCTGTCACCAGATAGAATATCTACTGACAAATCACAACGTATGCAGCCACAGAAACACTACTTGTGTGTGTGTGTGTGCGTGCGCGTGTGTGTGTGTGTATTCTCCATCCCCAGTGAGTCGTGGAGGATGGCTGCTTATACTGAGCCAGGATCCTCTGGAGGTTTCTTCCTGTTAAAAGGGAGTTTTCCTCTCCACTGTCGCTAAATGCTTGCTTAGTATGAGGATTGCTGTCTTCTGGGTAAACTAACTGGCTTAATGAACTGAACTCAATTATTATGTTTGCTTTGTGAAGTGCCTTGGGACGACTCGAAGCTATATGAATAAACTGAATTGAATTCTATTCTATTCTGTGGAACCAACTAATTTGTCAACTTCTGTAATTGTTTGACTATCAAATTTAAATAATTTCTACCCAAATTAATTTCATAAAAAAGTCATCACCCTAAATCTGAGTTAGATGAACAGAACTAGTCGTAATCCAAACGGCCAGCAGGTGGCGCAGGCGGACAAACAGCTGTTAACTTCTGTTTAGAGACGATACAAAGAGCAGGAATCACTCACCATCCCAAGCCTCACTTGTTCATGGCTCTTTATCACCCTGTGAGGTGAGAAACACACAAGGTTCAAGTAGTACAACAACAAGAGGCCCCGCCCACCTGCGACAGGTGTCAGCTGACCTTCTCTTTTTGGACTGATACAGGATTTCTTCCACTGTAGCAGTAAGGGATCCAGACTCATCCTCCTTGAGGACCTCCCTGTGGAAATTAGCACATTGTCCCATCAGAAGTGAAAAAAAGAAATACAATAAAATTATTATAAAGTTTATTACCATGTTCTCTCATAGCCGCCTTCCCAGCGCTTAGCTCGTTCTGGCTCTTCATCCATCGTACCTGCCAGCAAACAGGACCAAACACCTCAAGTCCAGAATCGTTCTAAAGCATCACGCTGCTTTTAAAAGCTGAAGAGAGCTCAACCGTGTCTCCAGTTTTTCAGTTAACCCTAACCCTGCTTAATGACATTTGGAAGATTTCTACACATTGCAGGATGAATTTTAACGTAGTGTACATGTAGGATCATCTTCTCACTAAACACGGTAAAATGCTAACGATTGGGGAAACCACACCATAATTATTTGTAGAGCACATTATAAAAACAGCATGTCAACTGACCAAAGTGCTTAAACACAAGTGAGGACATGTAAAAACAAACCCAAAGCAGTAAATCTAATGTTAAAAAGAGCCCTCACAATCTAATTATATGTTATTTGATGTTCCGATCACCTTTTGATCAAACTCCGAGTCATTTGACTTCCAGCATCTGCCGATTAAGTCCCAATCCAACACTTTTCAGCACAGCAATAAAATAAGGCCAGGCAACCTTTCACCAGTATAAAACCCAAGTGCATAAAAACCAAACCAATAGACGAGGCTATAAACGCGGTCGGGACGGAGGAGAGGTTCCTGTCAGAAATAAATAAAACATGAATCCGATCAACCGTGGAGTAACGGGTTCTCATTCACGCTTAACCCTCCCACTGTCTTTATGGGTGACCTCACGTGGAGTTGACCACTGAGCAGGATTGTTGGTTTTTCCCTTGAGGTCCACGTGGACCCAAGGGATAAACCATTAACCCTGCCCAATGGTCAACTTTCCTCGCGGGGTCATACCCATTAGGACAGTGGGAGGGTTAAGGAGTCGTTCTGGTTGGAGCTAGTTTCATCTGGAAATGTTGTCTGAGAGCAGCCTCAGCCTCTTCTGAGCTGTCATTCAGCCTGGTTGTGTGTGACCGGGTAGCAGGAGGAGGTTCTGGGCTTCTCTAGTTGGAAAATAAAATACAAACTGGAATTGGATTTGCAAGGTTTGTCTGTCGCACCACAAAGGTCCCAAATCACAGCACAGCAGCAGGATTAGCTCCTCACGGAGAACGCGTTCCCTCCAGAGATTAGGCTGTGTTAAATCCTCCAATAACAGATCAGTCATGATATCGTGTCAGATTCCCGTCAGTCACACGTGTCTTTTACTGGTTTTAGCACCAGTAATGCAGTAAAGCTGTTTTCCACCAACATAACTACACACTGGGTAAATATAACTAGTGGATGAGGAACACGCGTGAATGGCTGAGACCTTCAGTACTGCTGTTACCTCGTTCTACCACTAGATGCTGCTCCTACCCAAGGTCAGAGCTGTTCTTATATTTAGGAACATGTTCACGCACAAGTAGGGGTTGCATGACGTCATACACCTGAAGCGGCGGCCGGGTGTGTGTGTGTGTGTGTGTGTGTGGGGGGGGGGGGGGGTCGGTAGGTTTGCTGGAGTTTTTGACAGTTAAAATTGCGCCCATATTTTCTAAGTTAACACATCTCCTTTAATAACGGTACTTTCTGCATCCTGCTTCAGCCCTCTCCCCCCTCCCCCTGCGCAGCGGCCGCAAACTCACTGGTGCGCCTGCAGCCTCTCGGAGTTCCTGCTGCTCTAAACATTAAAATAATTATTTCATTTTCTGTTCCTCACTTCTGATTACCTTCAATGGTGTCTGTTTGTTGCAACCAGCAGGTACAAAAACTAACTTGTTTTTGTTTGACTATTTTTCTGTCCTGCTTGTTTATTATCTTCCTGCATCTCCTCTCAGTCCTAAAGAGAAACTGCTACCTGGGTTCGTATATATTCACCTCATGAGTTACCTTTGAACTGCAGTTCTAAAAGATCTACCGACCGCTAAAACAGCGGAGTGCCGCTGCTCGCCGGCCGACTACAACGGGACCGTTTTTGCTGCGGAGTTCGTGCCGGAGCGGAGATAGTGGAATCTTGGGGGTGCGTCACCGGAGAACAAAACAGGTGATGCGCCTCACTCCGCAGCAGTGAAACGCATCAGGCACAAATAACAGACAGAAAACATAAAAGGAAATGAGCCGACATGAACGATCGTGTGTTTAATTTGTTTTTGAGGTGGTGACACCTGATTTGGCGGTGCTCAGGACGCAGATGTCTGGAGCGCGTCAACGATCAGAGCTTTGCATGCGCAAACTGGTTAAGATTAGGATGGGGGTGAGGGGAAGGTTAAATTGCAAGAGGGAAAAGGTCACAGTTTGGTTAAATGTCCGTTTTACCGCCGGTGTCAGTACCGACGCTCTGGCACAGCGCGTCGCCTCCGCCTCCCGACACAGGGGCTCATCACCTGCTGTCTTTTCCAAGGACTGCATCTTGTCAGTCATTATCACGTGACAGCGACTAGTCGATGACAGGCATAAAAAGTCACTACAGAGCCGTGAAGTCGACTAGTCGACTAGTTGATACAACCCCTACGCACAAGTGCAAATTGGTAAATACCACACAATGCATAAATCCGTGCCTTCGCACGAAATACGCACAGATCTGTGCGTAAGTACAGTTGATTAATGAGGCCCCAGGTGTTTTACCTGCTTGGGCACCAAACACGCCAGCCTTGCCTTGACGACGCAGGCGTCGCATTCCTTCTACACCCTCCTTCCCTTAGATGACAATGCTCACCACGTGGAGTTCTTCACGGTCGACAGCGAGACCTCCTCTGCCATCGAGGCCATCTCTCCGGACCCTCCACTGTAGATTCTTGTCCCCGGGTTCAGGTCAGATAGCTCAGACCTGGCCAGGCCTTCAGACGACGAAAGCCTCGCCAATACGCTCCTCGGGGCCCTCGAGTCTGGTAGTCAGGCCGCTCTGGAACGAGCAATGGCCTTCAGTATTCTTCCTCAACTCCTCTCCCAGCTGTCCTGCCCTACTGCAGGAACTGCCATCACTCGTGGCAGCGGGGCCTCTAGCCACCCCAGGAACCGCCAAAGTCGTACGATTTTATGGGCTGGTTTGGTGAAATTCAAACCCGCTGCTTGGATATGGTGTCTCCATGGTTCCCGGCCACAATAGACTATTGGAGTGGCTCCCACCTGGAACTATCAAAGCTGAATGCACCTGTATCTACCTACGTTCCCATTTCTAAAGTAGAGGCCTTCTCCAAGTGTAGCTTCCCGGCCGTGCCACAGCTCGAACCTGACTAAGCTTCATTGCTGGGTGCCAAGGCTAAGGTCATGGGCCACCAAGTCACGCCCGTGTCCAGACATGCTAACAATATGGCTCTCCTCGCGTTCAGCATTTGTAAAATGGCTGAGGACTCCAAGCTCCCAAACAGGACCAAGGATCTCATCTGTAAGTGGGCTGATGCCATTCTATATCTCTGCGCTGCCTCCTTTGTCTGTGCTTCTCGCATCTCCTCCTGGCAGATCATGATTCAGCGCGTCATGTGGCTGCGCTGCCTGGTGTCCATCCCTGACAAGCTGCAGAAGGAAATGTTAGATGGCCCAATCAGCAGCACGGGCTTGCTTTTTGGCACTCATTTCTGCAAAGACATCGAGAGAGCCCAGAAGACAGCTGAACTCTCTGCTGCAGTGCGCAACCTGGTTAATCCCCACGCCAACCGCCGTCCAACCATCAGACCCAGGGGCTGGGGGGACCACTGCAACCAGTGGGGCCGCTACAGAGAACTCCCTGGACTGGGCTCCTACCAACACCAGCCTCCACCTCCTGCTGTCACTCCTCCGGCCCCATAGCTTCCGGCCCAGCCGCAGCGGCACCGCAAATGCCGGCTGCTAGCTCCTGTCTGGCAGGGCCAGCAGCAGAAGCAGTTCCCAAGAAGACAAAGATAATGACTCTTGGAGGAGACGTGTGTGATGTTTCTTGTGGTTCTGGGTCTGCATTAAAGCCGTTTCCAACCTATAACGACATGTTTTTGAACATCGTGTCTCCTCAGAGGATTCTGTGGGGCATTCTACTGGGGTTTCACACACGTTTCCCACACCAAATATAACTGTTTCTACCCTACACTTTTCTAAGGTTTGTGAGGGGTTAGCTACGGCTTCAAACCGGTTTGTCTCTGACAGCAACAACACACTCCCAGGTAAAACATCTCCCCCACCTAGCCGCCATGCACCTCTGTACATGACACCATTAAACAAGGGTTTCACTCCGAGTCTGTACAATGAGTCACAAATGCACCTGCTCCGCCTAAAGAGCCGCCATATTCCCACATTCTGTCCCGGTGCTTACAGCTAACCACCACAGCCAGGCACGCACTCCCCCCGCTCGGGAGCCCACACCTGTGACCCTGCGCCTGTGACCCCCCATCTTCCACATCAATCAGTGTTGCTCAACCCTTTTGCAGGAAGAACCTGCGGGCGGACATCATGTCCAGAGGGTGACGACGCCATTCGGAGTGGCGTCTCCACCCCGATCTCGTCTCTCAAATATGGGACAGATTCAGGGAGGCGGCTGTGGATCTGTTTGCATCCCACGAGAACACTCACTGCAGACTTTGGTTCTCTCCGAGCTCCCGGGATCTTCCCCTGCTATGGACGGATGCTTTCGCTCACAGACCCTGGCCCGGGTTCCTGCTTTACGCATTAATAATAATAATGCAATGAACTTATATAGCGCTTTTCAAGACACCCAAAGACGCTTTCACACACTCTCACATTCACACACTGCTAGTGATGGTAAGCTACTTGTAGCCACAGCCACCCTGGGGAGGTCTGACAGAGGCGAGGCTGCCATTTGGTGCCGTCGGCCCCTCTGACCACCACTAATGGGCCATTCCCATCTGTACCGGGTCGGCCCGGGCCGGGTAGCGTAGGTTGTTTACATATCTGGGTGGCCTGGTATTTTTCCGGGCCAACCAAGGCTCATTCTCAGCCCTCTTCTCGAGGGGGTCTGCTTCAGGCCGACCAGGGCCAACACACCCACTGCTGACGGCAAATCCACACCTTCCATTAGAGCAAGCCTCTGATTGGTGGGTAGAATCAGCCCACATGGGCTTAAGGCAAGGATGTGTGGAATCAACCGGGCCAGGCTGGGGCCGACTGGGACTACCCTGCCCGGGCCAACCCGGTACAGATGGGAATGGCCCACAACTAAGGCAAGTTGGGTGAAGTGTCTTGCCCAAGGACACAACAGCAGGATACCCCTGGCGGGAGCTGAAATCGAGCCTGTGACCCTCCGATCATGAGGCAACCCGCTCTACCACCTGAGCTACTGCTGCCCGCATTAGAATGGGTCAGACAGGAACAACTGATGATTATTCTGGTGGCTCCTTATTGCAGCACTGCACCTTGCAGACACTGATGGCAGCACACCCGTGGCTCCTGCCTTGGAGGAAGGATACGCCCCTTCAGGCCAATGGAGCCATCAGATGCCTGCCGACCCTAGGTCAGAACCTGTGGCTTTGGACGCTGAACAGTCACGCTTAGTGGTGTCTGGCCTGTCACCTGATGTGGTTTAGACCATCCAAAAAACTTGCGCTTCATCCACGGTCAGTTGACACAATCAGATCAGAGGCCTAAAGCCAGGCGTACACTGTGTGACTTTTTCACTTTATTGAGCTGATTTTTCCCCTCGTGCGAGAATCTCAAAGGTCAGGGCGAGTTTTGCACTGAGTGTCGTTTAGTATACAGGGGGTTACGAGAGGCGATTAACAACATGTGACCAGCTACCAATCAGCAATCGTGAGCTTGCACACATTTCTGGAGTGTTTGATCATTTGTTTGTCCCCCATGAGGTTATTGCACTGTTGAAGTGGCGCTGTGACCCAAAATGTACCAGAACCACTCACGATGCAAGCGCAAACACGGCTCACCAGCTATTTCCCTATTACCACACGTCGCTCGACACTTCTTTTCCCCACACACAATGACAAGAATTGCCAAGAAAGCGTGTTTGCCGTGTTTACGTCCAATTAAACTGATCACAAAACATTCATTTACTTTCTTTCCTTCCTGATCCTACCATCATAAATCCCTGCGTGTCCTCCTTCTGCACTCTCGACGGACAACAGACTAGAGCCCTGCACGGGCCTAAAATCTGAGCCCGTGTCCGGCCCGGCCCGGCCCGAGGGGGTGGAGCCCCAGCCCAACCCGGTCCAAAAAGGTTTTCAGGATTCTCTGGCCCGACCCGAGCCCGAATTTTTTTTAACCAACTAAATGAAAACAAAGTGCATCAATCCTGACCAATGTGTTAAAAGACGTGCAGGATCCGATCAATTTGTTTTTCCCTCGTTTACCGTCACGGAGATAACGGCGCAATAAAAATGCCAGGGCTCATTCGACAGGACCAGGGCATTGCAGGAGAATGTATGAAGAAGACATTTATTATTTCTATACATGTCTTGGCTGTCAAACTTCCATGATGTCCCTTTAAGCTGTATTTGCACACATTATCTACCCCACAAAATGGTAAAGCTGGTAAAACATTGAAGATATGCTCTGACTATAATATATCTGACCTGGACAACATTACATGTGTATTGTTATTCTTCTTCTTTTAGTGTCCCAACTTCAGTTATTAAATATTGTGTTCTGAATGCCAACAAGCCCCTGGCCTTTTGTAAGGTTACATTCACTGTAGCTGTCAGTTGTTTGTTTATTTCAAACACTTGGAAGAATTTCCAGCCGGGGGCACTGACTGATCCTGTGTGAAACCAGTAGTTGCTCATTAGTTCGTATGAAATGTGTGAAATGGCAAAGAAAAACTTTCTGCAAGGAAACACGCCCTGGCTGAGCTAGGAGACTGAACTTTATCTCAAACAAACCATCAGAATGGAAGTGCATGTTTAACAAATGTTTGGACATTAATAGTTTATTTTGACCGTGCACTGATGTATGTTGGTTGGTTATGTGCCCAGCCCGGAGATTCTGTATTGTGTGACACAACATTCCAATATAGGATCTGATCTTTGCAGCCCCTGGGAAAGCGGAGCGAGGTCCATGGTTTACTGCTCCTGTGATTAAGATGTGTGTGTGTGTGTGTGTTTGGGTTGCTGTAACCATTGTTCATTTAACCGTTTGTACAGTTTTCACGGTCTGATGGTTGACCTCATCAGAAGTCATTTCAGGTTAACAGAAATAAAATCTGCACCAGTCGAGGCTCTCTCGTCGCTTTTCCCTTCCTTCAATCCTGGGACTGCTACATTCATTATGTTTCCACGTGCCGTTTGCTCGTTTATCCTCCTTGTGATGTTGCAAGTTGGAAATAAAGCTTGAAAAAAAATCTGGGGTCACATTACGTAACCAACGTTCTTCCAGGGACAAAGGTGGCCCAAATACGGTACAAATATGTATTCACTCCTGTTTTGTCGTCTAACAGTAGCAGCGCTGTTGCCATGACGCAACGGGGTACGGTTCCGTTCCACATTCGTCCTCCCGCTTCCATATCCGGTACAACATACTAGCATCATACTAGCACCGAGAAACGGTCCCTGCGCACTGGAGCTGACTCGCGATACGTACCGTTTCACTTGAGCTTCGTCTCAAACGAACCGTCCAAAGGTACCGGGAAAAAAAGCTGAGCTGGCGGTGCAACTGGAATAGTCTTCCGTGGGGAAACGAGCACTACAGAGGAAGTTGACCAATCCGTTACATCCGGTGTACAGCAGGTGTTATGCCGAAAAGGGGATCCCCGTCGAAACCGAAACGACCGCAAATTGCGGAAATAAATGATTCAATTCAATTCAAGTTCATTTAAAAAGCGAGGAATCAGGACCAGAGTCGTCTCAAGGACCTTAAGTAAACATCCCAATACAGGTCAGCTCATTAAGCCAATCAGTAACAAGTTTCCTAAGGAACCCAGCAGGTTGCATCAAGTCACTGACTAGTGTCAGGGTCTTTACAGCAATCCCCATACTAAAGCAAGCATGCAGTAACTGTGGAGAGGAAAACTCCCTTTCAACAGGAAGAAACCTCCAGAGGATCCTGGCTCAGTATTGACCCTTTGCACCAACATCACCAAATCACGTGGTCATGGTGGACGTGCAAAAGCATGTAAACAGTAAGCGACACGAGTACTAAACAAAGGGGAAAGTAGAACCTGAAATTGTTTTTGCGATCAAAACAAAAACAAAACTCCAGCATTCCTTCAACTAGTTCATGCCCAGTTCAGTTATCAGAAGTAGCGCATCTAGCGGGGGCTCAGTATGTTAACTAGCTTACCAACGTTAGCTTACGTTCTCTCTGCAGCTGTTCACTGATGTAAGCATGTTGCTGACTTTGCCTAAATTCACCCCTCTGGATTTATAACTTTATGTTATAAACAGCGTTTCACTTTACACCAAAGCTGATTGTTAAAGTCCGGATCCCTGCCAGCTTCTGTTGCTGGTGGTGTTACCGGGTTCAGCTGCTGCTCTCACACCGGAATGAGAAGATCTCTGAACGCTGACGCTCATATAAATAAATAACGTAATTTTAACACACGTAATCATCCATCGGAGCTTTAATGTTAATAATCGTCTCGCTTTACACTACAGTGGACGGCGCGCATCATCCGTGGTGAAATACCCATCCATCAGGATTATCAAGAACTAGTATAAACACATCACATTTATCCCTGTCCCTGTCTTCCTCGTGAAATAAATTAATCTTACCCGGTAAAAACATGTTCGCTGCTAATCTGAGGCCTGCTAGTCCGCTTGACGCGGCAGTTCATCTCCGTCCTCAGTCTCCATCAAAGTTATTAAAAAAACAAAACTAGTTGAGTTTACGTCCTTGTCTGTTAGTGCAGCCGACCACGCAGCAAGCTAAACCCGTTTTACTGTCAAATCAACTAAATAAAAGCGATAAAAGGCTACAAACTGGCTTGTTTTGACTGCCTCCACTGGAGTTTCTACGGGTGTAAACGGTCTTTTTGCCGTCCATCATGGCAAAGGGGGCGGTCACATGAGTGGCGTGACGTCACGTGCAAAGGGTCAATGAGCAGCCATCCACCATCCACCATGACTCACTGGGGATGGCGAGAAAACACACACACACACACACACACACGTAGTGTTTCTATGGTTACATTGTGATTGCTTAGTAAATATTCTATTTGGTGAGAGATAAACTTTATTGTATTATTCCTAGTGAATCTATAATTAAACGGGTAAACTAGTAGTAGCACATTCAATGTCAAAGAGAGTAAAATGTTATCAGGAGTGGGAGAATGTTTAAGTGGTTAGCAGCAGTGTGCTAGCCGATGGCCCCCACCATGAGGCCACCACAGCTCAGCAAAACACCATTGTAGCTTCCTCTGGCTCCCCAGAAGAAATAATGAACCTGGTGAATTTGTTTCTCCTGAACAAGTTTTGGTTTTCACTAGAAATATGAAATTATTCATTTATTAATCACCTCCGTTTGAGACTAATGTTTTAGTGTTTTTATTATTTTCTTGTGTCTGCTTAAACTATATTATAAAGATTTTCTTCAAATCAAACATGTTATTAACAGTCATTTCCTTCATCTGCCTGCCCATTATAGGATAACACGGACATAGATGTATGTTGGGCCCAATCCCAATACTCCCAACTTATTTCAAATAATTGTTCAGATGTTTGTTTGAAAGTTGTTAAAGGTTTTTGAAAAAATTATCACAGCGACCAGCATCCCGGCATGTGTTGTGATCGATGACACAATGCTCCCCGTCTCAATTCTGCAATTATATACACACTTGTGTACTACGCAATTGAACTCTACTGCGTACTTTCTCCAACTGCACTTTGCTTTAGTTCGCAAGGCGCAGTGCGAGTATTGAGATTGGGCCATACATCTGTCTGTGTGGCATAGATGTATGTCTTTGTGTTATCCTACATAGATCTGTGTCACGCAGACATATGTACATCTATGTCTGTAGGATAACACACAGCAGGGGTGTGTTCAACATGCCACCTTTGAAATGAATGAGGGAAAGACAGAGCTCATTGTTTTTCACCCCAACAGCAGGAATGTGGATCGTTATGCTGATCATGGCCCTCTTTCTCCATACTCAAAACCAGTTGTTACCAGTTTGGGGGTGAAACTTGATGTGGGACTTAAATTTGATGCTCACATCAATTATGTGATCCGGTCCAGTTTCTTTCACCTGAGACGCCTTGCTAAAATCAAGCATATGCTGTCAAGAGCCCACCTGGAGCGGGTACTGCATGCCTGTTTAATTTCTCGGCTTGACTACTGCAACTCTCTATATGCAGGTTTGTGTCAGTCAACACTGCATCGCCTACAGGTTGTGCAGAACAGCGCTGCCAGGTTCCTGACTGGGACCAGGAAACGGGACCACATCAGTCCAGTTCTGGCCTCCCTGCACTGGCTTCCGATTTCCTATCGCTCACAATTCAAAATACTCGTCTTTGTTTATCATTTCTTCCAGGGTGGTGCTCCCCCCTACCTTGCCACACTCCTGAACAGACATTCCCCATCACGCGCTCTGCGCTCCTCTGACCAAGGCCTGCTCGCTGTCCATCGGTCTAGGTGTCGTACCCGTGGGGACCGGACTTTCTCAGTCCTAGCACCGTTACTCTGGAACCAGTTGCCACCCTCAATCAGGCTGTCCCCTTCTCTGCCAGTCTTTAAGAATCACCTAAAAACACACCTCCTCCGCTTGGCGTTTTCAGAACATGTTTGATTATGGCCCTCTATTATGTTGAATCCATTCCACAGTTTTCATTGGTACACTCAATCCATCCACTCAATCCAATTGTGTTTCACACATTTGTATTTTACCGGAATGTTTCATCTACCTTGTAATTTCCATTTTGTATTTTGTAATTTGTATTTTGTAATTTGAATTTCTTTTATTTTGATTTATTCAGTATAATTACTTACAACTGTACCATGTTCAGCGCTTTGGGCTTCCTGACAGGGTTGCGGAAGGCGCTTTATAAATAAAGCCTTGATTGATTGATTGAAATAGGACGGGCCACGCCACTGAGTTCCATTTATGTTGACTTTACATTGTCCAGAAAAGGTTTAGGATTATAAACCCCAAAACAGTAGGTGGCAGCATACACCTTTAACAATGGTTTACAGCCCCAGGACTACAGAACATTTCTGTATTTTTATTATTTATTATTCATGTTGACATAGTGTTTAGTATCCTGGTCCCAGTCACACTCCACTCCATTTCACTAGAATGAAAAAATAATTATTTTGTGAAGGATGACCATAAGTGCCACCCATTCATAGACAAGTGCACCACCTGGGCCACCCCATTTTAAAAGGCCTGGACACGGCACTGACACACAGACATAGATGTATGTCTGTGTGTTATCCTACATAGATCTATGTCACACAGACATAGATGTATGTGAATGGGGTAACACACGTTACAAGCTGCCTCATTGCTCAAACGCTTCTTCCCACAACAGGGATGCACATTTCCGTAGGCGTGCTATTTTCGGCACAACACCTGTAATAAACTTTCTCCACCAGACACCATGTTTATTATTTTATTTGACTCGTCCTATAATTGGACTCAAACCAATATACAATTGTAACTGCACAAAAGTTTTGTTCATGAATAGAGAGAAAAACCCAAATGACCATCTCTAAATTAAGCTACAGGATTCATTGATTGCATTTAAAATCACATCACAGCAACCGCACCAATAATCAGTTTCACTCAAGCTGCCCCGACACAGACTACAATACAGACTTACAGTCCATCATAAGTTCTAAACAAAATACTGTGTAAGTCCCAATTAACCGTCTTGCAGAGCCACAGTAGAGCTAGATATAGACATTACCAGATAGATGAACAGTTTGTTTCCAATGGCTATTTGGCTAAATCAACTAAAAGATAAAAGCTTCTCATAAAAGCAACGAGACACATTATTTTTAAAAGTAAATCACAGAAATAAGTCATTCTATAGATTCTCAATATAAACAAATCTATGATCGTTCAACTAAACCTGATCAGTGACTGCAGTAAATAAAAAAACTCAGTCTCCATTCACTTCCTTCATTGTGTAAAAAATTCTTATGACTGAATTAACAAAAAAATACAACTAAAAGGCAATAAAATATTTAGTGTTGTGAAGAAGGTCCGAGGTTTAAGGGCGGCGGTCATAATCACTGATCATTCTCTTGATGTGAGACAGTTTGGATCGGAGATGTTTACACCGCCTCTTCTTACTCTGGTAGTCTGGGGTCTGTGGAGGAATAAACACCAGACATGTATGCACAGAACCTTGTTCATTTTCAGACTTACTTTTGTGTATACATTTATAAATGCTGGTTGTTTCTCAATGCCAAGGATGTCTTGACCCCGCCCCGGTTGCCTAGGAGATACGCCATCTGGAACCGCCAAGGACTGTTCGTGTTCTACCGAGGCGTGTGTTCTCCATTTGTTAGCCATTTAGCTAGCTGAGCAAGGATACACGGGAGGTGTCTTGTAGCCTAGCCTTGGTCAAAAACTACCCAGAATACACCGCAGTATTTTCAAAAGGACGGCGGATCAGAAGCCGGCAGCTACTTCGGGGACAATCTTCAAGTTTTAAAGTAAGACAATTAATTTAAAAAGTTTTTTAGATCCAAAAAAGTTATCTATGGTTGGTTAGTTGCTTAGCAGTTGCAGCTTCGGTGGCTAGCGGGTAGTAACTCACTTATATATTTAATTTAATAAACATAAACACAATTTAAAAAGTAAAAGGCTCATTATATATTTATACTGAAACTAATACGTATAAAATATAACGTATCTCCCGTGTCACGTGAGTTACGTGACTGCCGTCGAAGCCACGGTCACGTGATCCATTTAACCGTTTTCTTTGACCAATGAAGGACCGTGTCCTCGTAAAGAAGGCGCCTGGCCTCGCAAGGCCTGGCGCCTCGGCATTGAGAAACAGCTTAAATCTACTTGATCATATTCTGATGTGTCTCCGCTGCACTCATGATGGGAAACACAGCAACAATCAGTGATGTTTTCTTTGCAGAAACCTGAGGACACCTGTTTCATCTGAAGGTTGTGCAACGTGTTCACACTGCACTGAAGGTTGAAACAGTTGTAAATGCTCTGGTTGTCGTCGTTAAAGATGCAACTGGGTCACACCTCTGGTTTAAACACGGTCTCAGCATTTCAAACCAACATGGCGCCTCTGCTCGTGTCTCTAGAGAGGACTAGGCATTTAGGAGAGGCACTGGAGACCTCCAGCTAGGCTAACCCCGATAGGAAGCAGCTGTTTTCAGACCACCAGCATCATGGTGGATACGTCGGTTTCTTACAGAACGTCTACAGCTGTGTGACTTACCTTCTTGAGATTTTTCAGTTCTGTGTATTCATTCAAAGCATCCTGAAGTGAGACAAAACAGATTCAGTTTGGAAGAAGAAAACATTATCCAGGGTTCATCTCCTGCACTGACCCGGGTGGGATGGCCACCCACGCCTTATAGAGAAGAAAAGTCACTCACCAGGAACTGGGGACTGCCCTCAGAGTGCCGGTCCAGTTCTCGGTCTGCTTCAGCCAGGTCCTGGTTGATTGCGTCCAGTTCGGCTTGCAGGTTCTTGTACTCGACGTGTTCCTGGTCAAACTCCCGTTTGTAGGCCAGACGCTCCTGCTCGTCCACGATGGGTGGAAACAAACTGCGGACACGAAATCAACCCTGGATCTTTGCCTGCCTCTCTGCTGTGTAATGTGTTTGTGGTGTAAGGTGTTTTTAAACAGCGAGTAAAACATCCACTCACACACTGAAATCATTTTCATCCAAATCATCTCCAGACTCCACTCCAGTATCATAGTCCTTAAGCTTGGAGTTCACACCTCCCACGAAGCTGCTTATGTCCGAGTCCCTGAAAGTCAGATGAAAGATGTAGATGTTTATGAACAGGTTTCGTCTTTGCATCCAGAACCTTCACCACCTCACGGGACCTTCCACAGTCCACCTGTAGATGGTGAGCCATGTGTCCTGCCCCAGAACTTTAGTTAGGGCTCTACACTGATCGGTCTGGGCTGTAGAGGAGTGTTGGGGTGGGGGCGGGGGGCGGGGGCGGGGGGCGGGGGGTGACCTGACTTCTAACATGTTGAGGTGCATGAGCTGATCTTCACCAGCTTAGTAATTATTCATCCCTTTCCTGTAAAACACTCAGCAGGTTACACCATGTCATTATTTATTAACAAAAAACAAGTCCAGGGTCAAAGGTCACTGAGGGGGTGGATAGAGAACACCCCTGAGCAGATCTGGTCCAACGCTCCAACCCAGAACCACCACCTGCCTCTAAACACTGGTAGAAACGTCATGTCCAACACCCAACAGCAACCCAAGGCTGACCAGCCTGATCCGGTTCGTATGTTGGAGGTACAAGTTGAAGATCCTTGAAGGTTTGTTTGTGTTTGTTTGTTTGTTTGTGTTCACCAGCTTGGCTCAGTGGTCTTCCTCCGTCTCCAAACCCAAGTGAACACCTGGTGGCCTTGGGGCTTTGAGCTCCAGGAGATGAAAAAGTCCTAGCCTGGCCTGTTTCATTCTGCAGAGAACGAGTCTGGTTCCTCACAGGAAAATAGCCCCGCCCCCTGGCAATTCTAACCCTGCCAATCAGCACTGAGCAGCTTGTGTCTGATTGCTCACAGGCAGGGAGGACTTGAGAGGCGGGACTAACCAGCTCAAAAATACCCAATCAGATAAAATCCAGACATGGCGACTGTACCGCTGCAGTCTTTTAGATGTGGTCAAACTGGCGCCCAGCGATGGCGCCAACATCTTTCTTTAGAGGAAAGGCTTTTAGAGCTACTTCTTGTTGTGGTTTTAAAGACGTGTCCAAGAGGAAAGCGCCGCAGCGAACTCCACTTCAAACACCATCTTCATGTTGATGACAAACTGAGCGTTGTGGTGTGTGACGTACGCTGCTCAGCGCTGATTGGCTGGGTTGAGTTCTCAGGGGGCGGGGTTATTTGCATGGGAGAAGTACCAGAGTCGTTCTCTGTGCAGAATTAAACAGAGGGGGAGTCTGGCAGACCAGGCTGAGAAAGCTCCTCAACCGTTTAGCAGCATGGAACAGACATGACTACACCACTGGCCACTGATGGCTTGTGCCCAAGTCTAGCAACAGAAGACTGCTGGAGGTCCGGTTAGGGTGGAAGTCCCTACTAGTCACAGCATCCAGAGACTCTGAGCAGTGCAGCTGTGTCATCTGGTAAGGCCAAATAACACAGCTGCAAAAGACACACACACACACACACACACACACACACACACACACACACACACACACACACACACACACACACACACACACACACACACACGCGCACACAGACACAGAACTAACCCTACTCACGAGTTATGCTTCAGGGCCGTGGAAATGAGTCCACCTATCCCTCTGCATGCCCCCTCCACATCTTACCCTCATCTTTGTTTAAAAGTGCTTTTCAGTCCATCGGTCCCAGCGTGCTCTCTATAATTAATGCTTCTCTGGTCTCTGGTCAGGTCCCTGCTTACTTTAAGAACGCTGTAATCCACCCGCTTCTTAAAAAACCGAGTCTCGACCCCTCTCTCCATAGCAGCTTCAGACCCATCTCTAAACTTCTGTTCATCTCCAAGATCTTGGAAAAGGTTGTGGCTAAACAACTCACAGCTGCTCTTGATGAACTTAACATCTATGATAGCTTCCAGTCAGGTTTTCATAGAGCTCATTCTACTGAAACAGCTCTTCTTAGGGTCTCTAATGACCTTCTGACCCACAGTGATGCAGGGGACTGTTCTGTTCTGGTCCTGCTGGACCTGACTGCAGCCTTTGACACTGTTGACCATCACCTGCTACTGGAGAGGCTGAGAGACTGGGTAGGCCTATCAGGATCTGCTCTGGAGTGGTTCTCCTCTTATCTTTCTGAGCGCTCCTTTTCTGTGGCCGTCTCCAAGTTTAGGTCCTCCACCACCTCCCTTACCCATGGTGTCCCACAAGGTTCTGTGCTGGGGCCTCTGCTCTTCCTCCTCAGTCTGCTTCCTCTTCAGCACATCCTGAGCTCCTTCAAAGGAATCTCCTACCATCTTTATGCAGATGACATCCAACTGTACATCTCCTTTAAGCCCCATGAGATGTCTAAGCTGCAGCTGTTACACACCTGCTTAGACTCTATCAAAACCCGGATGGTGGGAGCTTTCTTCAGCTGAATGAAGATAAGACTGAGATCCTCATCTGTGCCCCAGACAAGCTGGTTCCCAAAGTCAAAGACTCTCTTGGTCAGCTTGCTTCCCACACCAAACCTTCCGTCAGGAATCTTGGCGTGACCTTTGACCCAGCTCTCACCCTGGATTCTCATGTCAGTTCTCTTGTTGGCTCTTCCTTCTTCCATCTCAGGAACGTTGCTAAGCTGAGTCCCATTCTGTCCCGCTCTGAACTTGAGACAGTTCTCCACACCTTCATCTCCTCACGCTTAGACTACTGTAACTCTCTTTTCACGTGTCTGAGCAGAACCTCCCTGAACCGTCTACAGGTGGTTCAGAACGCCTGTGCTCGGCTTCTGACCAAGTCCTCCAAACACACCCACATCACCCCGCTTCTCCTCCAGCTTCACTGGCTGCCAGTCAACTTCAGGGTTCATTTCAAGATCCTGGTTCTGGTCTATAGGGCCTTACATGGACAAGCACCATCTTACATTGGTGATCTTCTTAGTCCCTACACCCCCAGCAGGTCCCTGAGGTCCAGTGATCAAAGCCTACTGGTTGTGCAGCACCAGGCTAAAGGTCAAAGGTGACTGATCATCTGCTGCTGTGGCCCCCAGACTCTGGACCTCTCTCCCCCTGAGCCTGAGATCAGTGGACTCAGTGGTCTCCTTTAAAAAGCAGCTGAAGACTCACTTGTTCAAGCTGGCTTTTGTATGACCTTCTTCACCTCTCTCTCTTTATTCTGCTCTCCCCACCTATTCCACCTTCCTCAGGATCCACTGATTTCCCTCTTTCCTGTTCACTCTCTGTCTCTTTACATTTTTAATCACAATTGTCATTTTTTTGCTAATTTTAAATATATATTTTAACCATTTTCTAAATTCTTTTTGATATTTTTACATTTTTTCTTTTTGTGAAGCGCCTCGTGATTTTTATCTTGAGAGGCGATCCAGAAATGATATTTTCTCCTTCTTCTTCTTCATAACCATCATCAGTTCCTGACCCACCTCCTGCATTTACCCAGATGAATATCGTACCACTCTCGTTTTCTTCCTGGTACTCGGTTTGTCTCCAAGACGTCTTCATATGACACACACGATTGGTTTCCCTCCATCGTATTGTTGATTTAAATCAGACACAAAGTCCTTAATTATGTGAAGTGACGAAAGTTAAAAGTGCTCAATCCCAGATGAACATCTCCCCACCTTCATGAGTAAATCAGCTGAGTCAGGTTAGGTGTGATGAAGGCCCAGCTTACCCTGGCAGGTACAGAGGCTTGTTGAAGTGTGCCTGGTCCAGAAAGTCTCTTGAACCCCCAACGTTTTCATTACCGTCATGAACCAGCACCTCTGGGTCACCAGACACGTTGTTCACCTGAAGCGAGAAAACACCTGGTCACTGCAGATTTAACCTGAGGGTCATTCCTGACCTACCTGCATGACCCCGATTCAGAGTTTCTAGAAAGCTCATATTCACACCACTAATGATGCCCTGCTCAGATGAAAACATGGCCTGAACAAAGAAGTGTGTGTGTGTGTGTGTGTGTGTGTGTGTGTGTGTGTGTGTGTGTGTGTGTGTGTGTGTGTGTGTGTGTGTGTGTGTGTGTGTGTGTGTGTGTGTGTGTGTGTGTGTGTGTGTGTGTGTGTGAGAGAGTGAGTGAGAGCGAGCGAGAGAGAGAATGACAGAAGCAGCCATTACTGTCATACCCTGGCTTTTTAACATTTGCTCTAACTGGTTGTAACGTAGGTCTGAGTAGTTCCTGTGGGGGTGCGCTCTCCTGAGGTTTCTGCCGAGCTCACCTAA